AGCCTTCCATGGCTGCTCTCTTTTCCTTTTTTTGCTCTTGTGAATATTTTTTTAAAGTTTGGTGATTGTAATGTGCGTGCTAACAAAGTCATAGCTCAACGTTTATTTATACTAGCGAAGCAAAGGTGCAATTGAAATGAAAAATGGGAAATGAGGAAAGTTCCCAAGGTTGACAAAATGAGGTTTAAAATGAATGGGCAATAATTTAAATAATTATAGAATTGATCACAAAAAGTAAATTAAAGTAACATGAGTAGAGTAATTTCTTGGGAAACCAGGCACACCTTGTATGACTACCATTATTTTTTGTGTGATTGTGTCTGCATATTATTGGTAAATGAGTAATAAGAAGTGTGCTCATATTTGGGTATTGAATAACCATAAAATATGGTGTCTTATATGACACAAACAATGGGTCATCAAATGATATAATTAGTATCATAACACATGAACTATGATTAAATGTGATACTTAAATATAATCACTTTAATAAAAAAAATGAAATAAGAGTGTTAGCATTGTTAGGAACATCAAGTATTTTTCAAGTACTAGTAAATCATATTTATCAATTTCATTTAAAAATACATTATATTTCATTGAAATTATCACAAAAATTACAGCACTTTAAATTATTTACTTTTTTTTACAATTATTATTCATAATCATATGTGACAGTAGCGTATTGTCAATTTATGTGAAATTCATATCAAACTTATACAAATAAATAATCTAAATTTATTTATAATAGTAATTGTTGCCACTCAATAAGAATAATTTAGGATAGTTTACTGATCATTCTTTACTTTAGGCTGAAGGAATGAATGACTTTGTCTATTCTACATGAAGAAGAGAGACATGTAAATTTGGTGATGGAGTCGAGTCTAGAATGCAAAAATGTCCGCAAAATTGACTTTGATTTGTTTGGTAAATGGCGTGGCGGCTTTACGCGCCAGAGAATGATATCATACATACCATGGATAGGATAGGATAGGATAGGATAGGATAGGATAGAGAGTACGATAGGATTATTCCTAGTCAAGTGCGTATTCTTGGACTAACTTGGCATAGGGAACCCAAGGGTGTGGTTTTGAGATTTCATGTTTTATGTTTTTGGAAGTTAGTCATTCCGGCCACAACCCATATAATTGACAGGATAAATTTTTTAAGATTGGATAAATTATACCTAGTGTTAGAAGTGTGGGTTTAAATTCTTATCTTTGTGTAAGTTTGTGACTTGCCGTTATATGATTGAGTGGCTCTGCTACGTTACAACCATCTAAAGGTAACCGTTAGAGTCTCAGTTCCTTGTAGAGTTTAGCTCCAGAGACTATCCTTATGTGATTAGGCCTTTTTTTTCTTTAACTTGGCATAGGTTAGAAAAAAATTATATTGCGCAATGATAGAGACTTTAAAAAATTTATCAAATTTTTTATTAAATGTTTCATGAGTGTGGAATCTATATGAGACTTAGATGGTATAAATTTCACACCTATGTGAGACATTAGATAGAAATTTTAATAAAATCTTTAATATTTTTCAATTATATTTTAATACTGGACAAATTTATGTAGTGTTCTAATTAATTTTTTATTAGCTAAAATAACATTATAATTAAATATTATATAAATAATAGATGTAGAAAATGTAAAGTATTACTTATATAAATAATGTAAAGTATTACTTTAAAATTATCAAATAACTACTACGTAAATCGTCCAAATGACAAGTAAATATGTAGATCATCTAGATCCAGTGCGTCCCTTTCTTAGTGGATGTAGATCATCTAGATCCAGTGCATCCTTTTCTTAGTGGGTTGTTTAGACTAGTCAAGGCCTAACCAATCCCAAATAATAATGAGTGGTTTTGGTTAATGAAAAATGGGTCTTTTAGCTTTTTAAAACGCTCATTAATAAAATTATTTTATTTAATTCTTACAGGAGTAATAATTGTATAGAAATGACAGCTCTCTTGTTGAAAAGAAATTCAATTATGTATTTATTTTTGATATGACCTATAAGATAATTTTCTTACTTATTATGAAAAAATATGTGAAAAAATATAAAAGTAATGTGAATTAAATAAGTCAATAAATAATTTATTTATATTGTTGTCAAAAGAGCTCTTAATTGGATCTATGGACTTTATTAGGATAGTCATTTTAATAATTTGAATTGTTCATCTTATAATTAAAATTACAATCACAAGTAACTCTTTTCTATATCTCATCTCTTTATATTTTTTTTTCATACATCTCTTGTGGACTTAAATTCAGACACACATAAATGATCCGATCCGCCTTAAAAGCATTTGTATGTGCGCAAATTAAAACTCATTGGAGAGAAATGAAAGGGTATGGAAATAAGATGTATGGAGGGAAGTTGTTCCCAACCACACCATAATGTATTATAATCAAAGGATCATAACCAAAAGTCACGAGGTATAATTAAAAATCTCTTTAGTCATAACTAAAATAACAACCATAAAATATTATAATTAAATCTTAATCTATACCATAATAATGTAAGTTTGTGACTTGCCGTTATATGATTGAGTGGCTCTGCTACGTTACAACCATCTAAAGGTAACCGTTAGAGTCTCAGTTCCTTGTAGAGTTTAGCTCCAGAGACTATCCTTATGTGATTAGGCCTTTTTTTTCTTTAACTTGGCATAGGTTAGAAAAAAATTATATTGCGCAATGATAGAGACTTTAAAAAATTTATCAAATTTTTTATTAAATGTTTCATGAGTGTGGAATCTATATGAGACTTAGATGGTATAAATTTCACACCTATGTGAGACATTAGATAGAAATTTTAATAAAATCTTTAATATTTTTCAATTATATTTTAATACTGGACAAATTTATGTAGTGTTCTAATTAATTTTTTATTAGCTAAAATAACATTATAATTAAATATTATATAAATAATAGATGTAGAAAATGTAAAGTATTACTTATATAAATAATGTAAAGTATTACTTTAAAATTATCAAATAACTACTACGTAAATCGTCCAAATGACAAGTAAATATGTAGATCATCTAGATCCAGTGCGTCCCTTTCTTAGTGGATGTAGATCATCTAGATCCAGTGCATCCTTTTCTTAGTGGCTTGTTTAGACTAGTCAAGGCCTAACCAATCCCAAATAATAATGAGTGGTTTTGGTTAATGAAAAATGGGTCTTTTAGCTTTTTAAAATGCTCATTAATAAAATTATTTTATTTAATTCTTATAGGAGTAATAATTTTATAGAAATGACAGCTCTCTTGTTGAAAAGAAATTCAATTATGTTTTTATTTTTGATATGACCTATAAGATAATTTCTTTACTTATTATGAAAAAATGTGTGAAAAATATAAAGGTAATGTGAATTAAATAAGTCAATAAATAATTTATTTATATTGTTGTCAAAAGAGCTCTTAATTGGGTCTATGGACTTTATTAGAACAGTCATTTTAATAATTTGAATTGTTCATCCTATAATTAAAATTACAATCACAAGTAACACTTTTCTATATCTCATCTCTCTATAATTTTTTTCATACATCTCTTGTGGACTTAAATTCGGCCACACATAAATGATTCAATCCGCCTTAAAAGCATTTGTATGTGCGCAAATTAAAACTCATTGGAGAGATATGAAAGGGTATGGAAATAAGATGTATGGAGGGAAGTTGTTCCCAACCACACCATAATGTGTTATAATCAAAGGATCATAACCAAAAGTCACGAGGTATAATTAAAAATCTCTTTAGTCATAACTAAAATAACAATCATAAAATATTATAATTAAATCTTAATCAATATCATAATAAATTATAATCAAATCATAACTAACACTAGATTAGATGATAATCAAACATCACAAAAATTCAATTAGTCATAATTGGAACCTAGAATTCTCCAAAAACAATGGGTGGGGTTGTTTATGCTTGAAAGTCTTATTTTGCACAGAGTTCAAAGGCTATTTTACTCATTCTTCACTCAGTACAATTTTTGTCTTTTTTACTTATTTTAAATTCTGGCTCTGACGGATTGCCTCATCATTGTTGATTTCCCAAATATATCAATGCCTTCCATTATTCAATAAGATGGCAGAAATCTATGGAACTACGTATCAAAATATTTTATTTATATAATATTCCACCGAAATTATAACATCAAAGCTGGAATAGCTCAGATGGCTAGAGCGTGTGGCTGTTAACCACAAGGTCGAAGGTTCGAGCCCTTCTTCTAGCGTGAATAATTTTTTTTCCCTCTCTTCTTTCCTTTGATTAAGTCTTTCTAAATTTAGCATTCCTCTATTTGTTTATTTGATTCTGTTTCTCTAAATTTTTGTTGTTTTCTTGTTTTGTTTCTTTTTCTTTTAAGTTAGGAATTCATCTTTTTGTTTCTTTGATTATGTTTCTCTAACTTGGGCATTCCTCTGTTTGTTTTTCTGATTCTGTTTCTTTTTCTTCTAAATTTTGCATTCCCCTGTTCACAAAACAGGGCAGCCATCAGGGAAAAATGAAAATAACAGTTACATAAGGATTCTATTATATGATAACAAAAATACATTCACATGCACCGTCACTTTCAGCCACTCACATAAATGCGCACTCCTCATTTCACATTCAGCAATGGTAGGTATCATGAAAAAATTTTCATGAAAATAATTATGAATACTTTGTGACTCTTGGATTACACTTAGAATAAAACACCACATACTAATTAAGGTAATTTAAGGATCATAAATCTTTCATGATCATTTTCATGAAAAAATTTTCATGATCCCTAACTTTTCTCTTTCACATTTACTCTAGCAGCAATACTATGTACTTAGAAAATTACACCGAATTATAAATGTACGAATTAAAATTATTTTAAATGTGATACACGTTACATACGAAGTTTAAATTTAATTTATCACAACACAACATTTCTGTCAATGTAACTGAGTACTATTACTTGCTAACGAATATCCATAGTAACAAGATTTTAAATATTAACCAATAAATACCATGAAATTTTAGACTTTCGATACTAATATATCGATCAATATTATTTGATATCAGGTGATATATAATTGTATCATAAATATCGATATAAATTGAGATAATGTTATTTAAAACCATGCTCAATAGTGATTGTGATGGTGCTGCTATTACATGGGAAATGAACCTCCTTGGTCTCCACTTTGCACAAGCCTAATGTAGAAATGGTGTCTCACTTGCCTTTCACTAGAAGAACCAACCAAAAGGGTATGCTGTCCAGTAACCACCTTCCTCTTCCCATCTCCATCCACAACACTCAAATCCTTACACACATCCAACTCCACCGCCACAGTATTCGTCTTCCCTCTCTTCACCGCCACTCTCTCAAACCCCACCAGCTGCAAATTAGGCACCCCAACCACCACCCCATCTGAGCTCGCTGGCTTCCAAAACACCAGCACGACATGGGTCCCATCCATCGGACCAGCATTCTTCACTCCGATAACCACTTGAAAGTTTAGATTCTGGCAGTTGATCGTAGAAATGTCGATGTCTTTGATTATTTGGGTGGTGGAGTTGGATTTTATGAGTATAGTTGAAGGTGCAGATGTGATGAACTTGGAAAATGTCGAGTAGCTGAGTCCCCGGCCGAATTCGTATATAAATTTTCCGGTGTAGAACCGGTAGGTTCTTCCTGGGAAGTTTGTGGTGGTGTTGGGTCTCATGTTCATGTCAGTCATGGCCACCTGATCTGCAAACTCTTGCGGGTACCAAGTAAATGGGGACCTTCCACCTGAGATGTGAGAGCACATTGAATTATCATCATAGTCATTGTGCACTATAAAGAGGTTTTATAAAGAAGTGATGATTCATTTTGAGTTTAAACACAAACCAATCACAAATCCGGATATAGAATAATCATAGCGTTGTCGGGTTAGATTCGTGACCGGTTTCTCTATTCTAGCATTAATTAGATGCAAATTATACCCTTATATACTTTCTAAGGATTAGCTACTTTCATGTCACAGTATGAAATGGAGAGGTCTAGTCCAATCGTGGGGTCCTTATGAGTTTCATTTTGATGATTAACTCGGCTCATCTTATAGGGCCTTATGCGTAGATTATTAAAAAAATTAAATTTATATAGTAATTGTAGTTGCATGATGTCAATATATTTGACTTTATAAAGTAAATGAAAAGTATGACTTTAAGAATATATATCTATTTTTTATGACAAACATGATAAAATCATGTGACTTTAGTAATTTTATATTTTTATGAATGATTTACATACAGTCTTACAAAATGAATATAGGCCCCACTATATAGATTGGATCTTTTCTGCCTATAGCGAGCAATGCTAGGGACCTAAAAAACACTAAAAATTCAAAAAGTTCAAATTTAAATTTTTGAAAATTTTTGGCGGTACCCTACCATTTTTAGTCCATAGGTGAACTAGAGAGAACAATATGCGGATACGATTTCCATCCGATTAATATTCGGAATATAGAAACAACCACTAATCTAGATACATAACACTCCCAGGTTATAGATCCTCGCAGCCATGTGAGTGTTCTGTATCCAAATTTGTGACCTATTTTAGTGTTGGTAACTTGCATCCACAAATATGTACATGTGATAGAGAGAGAACCTGGATTATAGTCCCCAAATATGATTTGAGCAATGGCATCCCCACCACCCTGACCAGGATACCCCACCCACAAAATGGCCCCAATCTTGCTATTATTTTTGGCAAATGAAACATCAATTGGACCAGCTGACATTATAACCAAAATTACAGACCCATTTGTTGCATTAGCCACTTCCATCACAAGCTTCTCTTGAAACCCTGGCAATGTCAAGTTCACTCTATCTAGCTCTTCTCTCTCAACAGACTGATCAAGCCCCACCACCACCACCACCTCATCCGCCACTGCTGCAGCCTTAATTGCCGCCTCAATCTGGCTCTCATCAACGCAACCAACATTGGCGCAGCCAGGCTCATATGTCACCGCCTCGACATACTTTTGTAGCCCCTGGAGAGGGCTAGTGTAGCGACACGGTACACCGGCATAGTTGCTTATCATAACTTGTGTGGCATTGGCATTAGGTCCTATGATTGCTACATTTTTGGTGGTGTTGGTGGACAGAGGAACAGCTCCATTATTGTCTAGCAAAACTATCCCCTGCTTTGCAGCTTCAACAGCCAGTGCTTGATGATCATCGGTACATACATCGGATGGACCGAGTTGCCCGAATGGGAGGGTGGTGGGGTCCCCATCAAAGAAGCCAAGCCTCATTAGGACTATGTAGTTGTATATCAAGGCTTGGTCTACAATCGACTCTTCTACTTTGTTTGATTTCACTGCATTCTCTGTGTACTTTCCCAAATATTCTCCACAGTTCATGTTTAAACCTGTATGATTGTGTAGGAATGGTATGTTTATGACTCATTTATAACCATCTGATTTGTGAAATGAATGATTGATTACCTGCTTTTAGGGCAAGGGCTACTGCATCCTCAGGTGTAGCGGTGTAATGTATGGAGTTGTAGTATACCTCCACAGAGTCACAGTCAGAAACAATGTATCTGCACCAAAGCATATACTTGACGCATCAATGGCACCAAGATAATTTGGCAGGTTTTTGAGCGATTGGACATCTCAACAAACAAATTGATGTGTGAATGTGCAATATTCAAAGTTGTTAGATGTGCAGTCTTGTCCAACAGCCGACCTCACATGTTTGTTCTTTCTAGGAGTGTCTTGTGCCATTTTGTAAGTCCATTTTGGACATTGTTTGCATCCCATGTTAGATGCCAATATATCCTCACCTTAATGCAGGCACACGACCCAAACTCTCATGCCATGTTACACGTGCACAATTCAATCTCTACTTGAAAGTATTGCCCGTTATGACCTAGCTTAACAATTGGCCTCACAACAATATCCGTGTGGAAAAAAAAAAAGGTACTTCCAAAATAGAGGTATTTTGCATTATTTTAGAAGTTCATTCTAGACATAATCCAGTGAGAACAACTTTTACTCTGATTCTATGTTAATTAGTAACAAAATTAGATACAATTTTTTACGTGGATATGAGACCCACTTTATATAACAAAATTGTGTATAGTTCTATGTTCAATTTCCGTGTTACTAGACTCTTTCATAAACATAGAAGCTTGAAGAGTATTGGAGAGGGAACAAACCCATCTAGATTCCATTGATCTCTGACTATCCCTTTGAGGAGGTTGGGGTCAGCACAAGTGGGGATACCATTTACTCTGTTATATGAACACATCACACTACTCACATGTCCTTCCTCCACACAACTCTTGAACGGTGGCTGATAAGTATCTTCTAAGTCCTGTAAAGTTACCTGCATTGCAACAACGACTTGTTTGGGTGCCTGCAGTAGATATTGATTTTTCTTTTTCAAATACATTGAAGTATTTAGAGATGTTTATTAACACAACTCAACATTAGGAAACAATACATACACATAAATTAAGTATAGAAAAGTACACAGAAAGATTGTGGGTTTGGGAGTGTTATGAACACGCTATTAATAAAAAATAAAAAAATTAATTCAATACTTGTAACTATATAATTTCATAATGTTTAATTTTTTTTATAAAAAAAAATGAATGATAAGTATGATTTTAAATATAGACAATTTATTTTTTATAATGAAATCATGTGAACAGTTAAACTAATTATATATATATATATATATATTTTTTTTTTTTTTCATACATCATTCATTCACCCAAAATCCTACAAAAAGGAACCACTCAAATCATCGAAAAAAGATCCGTGATGAATATCATGGCTGGACTACACCTCTCCAGTCCGTACCTATAGTGAGCAAAAATTATTCAGTGTCATGTGACAATATATAGCAAAGGCACATTCTCACCTTTGATTTCTGGGAAACCAATGTGTACATAGCATTTCTGTTTTACAAATTTAAATTACTTCATATACCATACTAAAATTTGGTACACCCTGCGATCATAAAATTCTCTACATAAACATACCTTAGCATCAAAGTGAAAGCGATCAACCCCTTTCCAATTATCAACATCATAAGCAGTATAATGTTTACAACAACTCGAAACCTTAAGCTTCTCATCATCTCCCTCCACCTCCTGCAAACCTCGTACATACCTCACGGCATACTCGGCCACCACCATCGGGTCCTCTCCGGGCGTCTCCTGCCCTCTCCCCCACCTCGGGTCCCTAAAAACATTCACATTCGGGCTCCAATACGTCAACCCTGCCAACCCAACATTATACATGGCTCTAGCCTCGGTCGACACCACCCTACCCATTTCATACCACAGCGAAGCATTAAAACTCGCCGCCGTCAGAATCACCGCCGGGAAGCTGGTGGCGCCGGGGACGGTGGCGTTGAAGCGGACCCCAGGGCCCGCGTTGGAGACGCCGTGGAGAGCCTCCGACCACCACTGGTAAGGCGGCACGGAGAGACGGGGAATGCCGGGGGATGTGTTGATGAGTTGTTGGGTTTTTTCAGGGAGGGTGAGGAGAGAGAGGAGGTGGTTGGCTCGGGATGAGTAGGATAGAGAGGTGTTGCAGAATTGGTAAGTGGGTGTGTTTGGGTCGTTTTTGTTGCATGGGTATTGCAGAGTTGTCGGTGGGGTTGAGAGAAGGAGGAGGAGTGAGAGGAAGAGATGATGGGTTTTCATGGGTTTCTTTCTTCTTAATTTTATTTTGTCTATTGATTTAGATTTTCTGGGTTTTAATGAGCTCTGATCGGCTAGAACACTGGTACTTATTTATATTGAGAAGATGAGCCAAACTTTGTTTCTAGTTTTGTCTTGCACAGTTGTTTTGAGAATTAATTTTATTTTGTTAAAGCGTACAGTAGAGGAAAGGATTAGACTTTTTAATGATTTTTTTTTTCCAGTAAATTATATTTTACCGGTTTTATATTTGATTATTTTTTCAGTTTGGTTTTTCAAATTTATTTTTTCTTACTTTACCTTTTATATTTTAAGTTTTTTTTTTTCACTTTATTCCTAAAATTAATTTCTGTTAAAAATAGACAAAAAAATGACACATTAATAAGTACGTGACACAAATATTTTATTATATATGACCCAGGCCTCTAACATAAACTTATATTGTAATATAATAATATATTTTTTATGTTATGTAGCAGTTATTGTGAATTTTTTTTTTTGTCTAATTTTGAACATAAATTAGTTTGAAGAATAAAATGGAAAAAAAATGAAAACATGAAGGGTCAAGTAGAAAATTGACCAAACATAAAGGGACAAAGTATAATTTATCCTTCTTTTTAAAAAATAAAATAAAAATAAATTTTTTTCGCTATCCTAGCCTCTTGTCAAAATAGTGGAATTAAAAAGTGATTTTTTAGTAGTTTTTTGGGTTAAAATATGATATAAATAAATGGACCATGCTACGTAGCTCGAAACCGCGGCTCGAAATCGCGGCTCGACACCAAAACGACGTCGCTTTGGTGTCGAATTATTCGGGCATTCAGAGTGTAGCGGGGTCGTTCATCTATCCATATATTATTAAATGAAAGCCTAAGTTGGTTTAGTAATCAAATCTCTCTTCATGTCACGTTATAATTTTATATATATTAAAATAAAAAAATTATTATACGTAATATAAATAAATTTTGAACTCAGGAGGAGGAGGATGAGGAGGGAGGGGAGGGGGAGAAGGAGGAGGAGGAAGGAGGGGAGGGGGCCATAAAAACCGGTTGGAAGAGGAGGGGAGGCTGGGCAGACGACCGGGGCTGGCAGACGACTGTCAAGATTCCTCTTCGGCGGGGCTGGGCGAGGCGACGGTCTGCTGCGACGATCGGCGACGAGCCCTCTCCTCTCTCTTTCTCCCTCTCTCCTCCTCTTCCCTCTCTTTCTCCCCTCTTCTTCCATTTTCGAGCCGTTTCGAGCTCGACCCTTTCGAGCTACGAGACGTTTTCATAAATAAATTAATATGCCTTGTGAATGATTTTTTATTTCTTATCAGAAAAACGTTTGAAATTTTGAGTGAGCGGGAATTTTTTTTTTAAAGCTAAACTAGTCATTTGCCAAATGATCTCTAAATTGAATTTATGAGCCCACCACAAGCCTTAAAAGCAATCACTTAAATTTTTTTTAAAATAAATGTAATTAAATCAAGTTGTTATAATTATCCGATCATTTTAATTTTTGGTATTATTGATTTACACATGGGATGCTAAAAAATTATCAATTCAAATTATGAAAATAGGACATATAAAAGCTGAATTTATCTACTTATATATTGTTGTTTCTACAATGAACACATTTTTATGCTATATTTGATTTATCATGCAAGTTGTCCCTATTTCATTAGTTTAAGGGTCTTACTTTTGTTTCCAGTATGCTAAATATAATATAAAATGAAATCATTAGTATTGCACTATTAAATTCAATGACCTCTCATATTAGAAACCATAAATCATGTGGACATTTTTATTAACACCAGCAAGTGGCATACGTGATGCGTGTAATTCAGATAATTAATAATAAAAATAAATAATAAATAATTTAACATCATAATATGTATGTGGCTTAAATGATAAATATGTTCTTAATAAAATCCAAGGTCTTAGGTTCAAAATTTACATATGTTGTGTATAATAAAAAAAAATTAGAATATATAAAATTGTCATGTGACATCAGGAGAAGAATGTTTTACTAAATCAGTTTAAACCTTCCCTTAATAATAGTATAGGTATAGATGCCCTAAACTTTATTGTGTGCTCAAGGGAAAAGTTTCAACAATTATTTTTATTAGCTTTTGTATTATTGTAGCCACTGTGCTCACATAGGATGCCAATCAATCTGAACATGTGATTCATGTAATCTAGTGCTATGTGATGTATAAACCTATTCATATTATAAAATTAACAACAACAACAAAAAACACGTTCTTTCCTACAGCCAACAGAGAAAATGTCAACCAGTTTGATAATAAAAGCCAATCCAAAATTATTTTTTTTTTGGGTGAATATAAAAAGCCAACCAATTATATAAACAATTCAGAGAAATTACTCTGAACATGTGATTCATGTAATCTAGTGCTATGTGATGTATAAACCTATTCATATTATAAAATTAACAACAACAACAAAAAACACGTTCTTTCCTACAGCCAACAGAGAAAATGTCAACCAGTTTGATAATAAAAGCCAATCCAAATTTTTTTTTTTTTTGGGTGAATATAAAAAGCCAACCAGTTATATAAACAATTCAGAGAAATTACACCAAATAGTCCTATTATTTCATATTAGTGTGATACTTTAATAATTGGTCTTTCATAGACTTGTAAAACCATACTTGAAAGGAAAATGATATGTACCATGAAATTATATTCCAAATTTTACTTTGAAAATGAGTTTAGTAGTATAAATTTAAAATGGATAGAATGTGAGTCACATATAAAATGATTGTGATCGAAAGATATACTTTTCTGAATAATTTTGAGTTGAATTATTGTTTTGTCGATCGGGCTTGTAAGTGTGCCCTAATTCCCACTTACTAAATTGACAAGGTTAAAGTTGCAAAGTAAAAGGAATTCATGTCAAGCAAGCTAAGAGAGAAAAGATAGTTGCAGGCAAGGGTGTCTTCGAAGAAATTTCAAAGATAGAGCACGCCAGGCAAGGTTGCTTCTAAAGGCAAGCAACTACTCTCTCATGAAGACATATCTCTTTCGAGAGCTATTTATTGTGTTTGATTTGAATTTTTTAGATTAAATTTTTAAAAGTTAAGTTTTTTGATTTTCATATTTTTTTTGTTTTTAGTGAATATTTTTAAAATTTTAAATTTTTTTTTTACTTTTTTAGATGCACCTTACTTAGATGCATCTAAAAAGTAAAAAAATTGTGAAAAAATATTTCAAAAAATTAAAGAATACATAAAAATACAAAAAATGTACTGAATTCTTGATTTTTTTTTTTTTTGTATTTTTGGTACTTAGTGAATTTTGAAAAAGTTTTTTTCATAATTTTTTTACTTTTTAGGTATATTTATATTAGCTATGTCTAAAAAGTTAAAAAAATTGCTTAAAATATTTAAAAAATTCAGTAAAAACAAAAAAATACAAAAAATAAGAAAATAGAATTTTTTGAAAAGTGTTTTTTGAAAAACCTAATCAAGAAAGCTGATTTGTTTTGAGAGCAATCCCTTGCTTTATATGTTTTTATTTTTTTATTTTTTTATTATTATAAGTGAAAACCAGTTGTTAGATTTGTTAGAATAATCTTTTGTATAAAAAGTAAAACAAAAACAAAGTAAATAAATTACTTACAGGAAAGAACAGCAAAATACGATCAAGTCAAATATATGACGCTCTGTTCTTAAGATACATTTGCCACTGCCCAGGTACTCACGAATTATCGGCGTTAACCTCCCAAGATACAATGATCACTCACACAGATTGTAACAATCTGTTATGGCGAACCAAAACTTGAGTTTTGAAACTCTTCGAAACCTCTAAAAACTAGTATAAAGAATAATGCAACACAAAAGGAAAATGTGAAAGAAAAAAATGGAATGAATTGAATCTACTGGAGGATCGTATATTTATAGGCCAAGAGGTGTCTATTTGAAAGGGCAGAAAACTCTTCAAACAAGTGTGAAACTTGGAACCGTCGGAAATTAAAGAGAGGGAACCGGAGAGGCATTGTTCCGAAAAGCAAAAATTCAAATTTGAATTCGAATTTTGTTGCAAAAGTTTGAATTAATCCGTTAGGATTTCAAATTTTCCCACAAGAATTTGAAAAAATTCAAATGGATTTTGAATTTTTAAAAAATTAAGATAAGACCCAACCAGGCTGGACGGATGGCGCATGTAATGGATTTGGATCAAACCCACTTTGTCTGTAATTCCCTTCCTTACAAAACTTGGGGTATCCCTTGGAGCCCATCCCAAGTATGTCAACCTAAAACTTATATACTCATATAAGCTCTCTTATTATTTCTATGTGGGACATTGAAAATAAAGTAATTCACATTTAACTCTTCAACTTCTCATTTCACGAAATCAAAAACGACATCAAATTTTCATTCATTCATAAACGGTTTTGACGATCCGTTTTCACCATATAACTTGCCATGCAACAAGAAACATGTCACCACTTGAACCCACCTCAAACAATGTGTAAGCTCTACTTAAATTTGGGTTAAAAAATGACCCAAAATAAACTAATAAAACAAAAATTTCCAACAAGATAGGCCTCGTTTGGCAAGTAACTGTTTTAGCTTGAAAGTCAAAAAGTTACTAAAAAAGCCAAAAAGCCTATAACCTATACCAAAAAGTCAAAGATTCATTTTTTTTCTACTTTTTGCACATCTTTTCGTAAAAAGTCAAAAAGTCACCTCAAACATACTAGTTTTTTTTTACCTCATATTTCAGTTAAAAAGTCAAAAAGTTACTAAGATAGCTTGTTCCCAAACGAAGCCTAATTCTTGAAAAGAGTTGAATTCTCACCCTCTTCCTTACAAACACCACTGAAGTACTGCCTCCATAACACTAGACTATGAGGTCATAGTCAAATATATTTTGTTCTTTTATCACTATGATGATGAGATTTTTTTTAAAGCAATTTTTTAATTTTTTTAGTGTATTCAATTACATACCCAACTCAATGGGTATGCTCCTGGAGTACTCAATGCTGGAACCAGATTTTGTTGTGACTTGCCAAAACTTTAAAAATAAAATTTTACTTTGTGCTATAATTACTATGTTATTAAGCTTTCTTTACACATATTT